TCGCCTCGGCTTGCCTCTGCGCGCTGCCCTGCCAGTGCAGTGGCGGCCTGGCGGGGCGCGGCCCAGCGCGGCGCACTTGGCCGCTAGCTTGCTAGTTCCGCGTCGCGCCGCCGCCCCCTCTTTGTTTTTGTTTTTATCGCGGTCCACGTGTGGCTCGCGCTGCGTCGCTGCGTCGCGGCGGCAGTGCCCAGCGGGCTTTGGTCGCTCCGTCTCTCTCGCGCCCCCGCGGCACACCGCGTGAGTGCGAGAGAGACGGAGCGAGGCCGGCCACGGTGCCGCCGACCGACCGACCGACGCGGCGATAGCGCGCCGTAATCTCGCAGTGCAAATCGACGATTTAATCCGCGGTTATTTTGACGCGGCGGTGCGACGCGCGGAGGGCACGTGCACTGTGAGTCAGTGGGCGGTCGTCGCTTCGTCTCTGCCTCACGGGGAGTGCGAGTGCGAGAGAGACGGCGCGTGCGGGGAAGGGCGCACGCTGACGCATCCTGGCGCATCTTGACGCGCGTAGCGAAGGGTGGATTCGCGCGCGTGAATCAGTCGGTCGGGTTGCGTGCGGCGTTTTGTTGGTAGGGCCCTTAGTCATTCGTCTTCCCTTCCCCCTCCTCTCCGCTCAGGTTCAGACTGCGCACCGCGCTGCGCGTTCGCCACACTGCGAGGAAGCGCTGCCGAAACGCCCCGCCGTCCCCGAAGGCTCCGAAGGCTCCGAAGGCCGGCCGGAAAGGCGCGCGTTGCACTAATCCTTCCCGACCCAAATCCCATGCACGGAAGAAAGAACTCGTTAAACCGAAATGTTTTGAAATGGTTGTTTCTCTCTGCAACAGCAACAACAACAATCGACTCAATCCTGTACACGGTTGTCCAACCAACATTTTGTCCTTTTAACAAAGATCATTTTCAAAACACCTGTCTCCAACTATTCCTCTATTCAATCAAAACTCAAAAAATAAAGGCTACTATCACGATTTTGTCTTCGATGGGGGGAGAGTAACAAAAAGTGCCAGAACGAATTAGTTTCGTTGTTTTTATTGTTTTTAGCAGATGATACCTTCACCACACTTGAAACATACTTAAAAATACTGTACACATGAAGGTGTCAGCGTGCTTTTACTCTCGAGTCCAGAAACCAAGCGCGTATCCCAACAATATAATAGGGGCTGGCCGCCGGGGCGGGCTGGTGTGTCTGGCTGGCTGGCTGGCGGTGAGGCGCAGCCTGCGCGGGCAATGGCACCCCCTACCCCCTCCTCGCGCGCGACGGCCCGCGCGCCACATTGACAATCCCTCTCCGCCTGCCACGTCTCAAAGGGTGGGTGACTCGGGCAGACCTCGGCTCTGCTCAGCTCGTGCCGGCTTCGGCGCCAGCTCGGCCTCGTTCGTTGAATGAGATTTTAAGAACTATCTTTGGAATGAGCCCATACTAATGAGCCCAGAAGAAAACCAAACGAGTATCATCTGCTTTTATTAGCGTTCGTTGAATGAGATTTTTTGTTTGCCGTATACGGCTTTTGGTCTGCCTCATACGGTTTTTGATTTGCCGCATACGGTTTTTTGTTTGCCGTATACGGCTTTTGGTCTGCCTCATACGGTTTTTGATTTGCCGCATACGGTTTTTTGTTTGCGTATACGGCTTTTGGTCTGCCTCATACGGTTTTTGATTTGCCGCATACGGTTTTTTGTTTGCCGTATACGGCTTTTGGTCTGCCTCATACGGTTTTTGATTTGCCGCATACGGTTTTTTGTTTGCCGTATACGGCTTTTGGTCTGCCTCATACGGTTTTTGATTTGCCGCATACGGTTTTTTGTTTGCCGTATACGGCTTTAGGTCTGCCTCATACGGTTTTTGATTTGCCGCATACGGTTTTTTGTTTGCCGTATACGGCTTTTGGTCTGCCTCATACGGTTTTTGATTTGCCGCATACGGTTTTGTTTGCCGTATACGGCTTTGGTCTGCCTCATACGGTTTTTGATTTGCCGCATACGGTTTTTTGTTTGCGTATACGGCTTTTGGTCTGCCTCATACGGTTTTTGATTTGCCGCATACGGTTTTTGTTTGCCGTATACGGCTTTTGGTCTGCCTCATACGGTTTTTGATTTGCCGCATACGGTTTTTTGTTGCCGTATACGGCTTTTGGTCTGCCTCATACGGTTTTTGATTTGCCGCATACGGTTTTTTGTTTGCCGTATACGGCTTTTGGTCTGCCTCATACGGTTTTTGATTTGCCGCATACGGTTTTTTGTTTGCGTATACGGCTTTTGGTCTGCCTCATACGGTTTTTGATTTGCCGCATACGGTTTTTTGTTTGCGTATACGGCTTTTGGTCTGCCTCATACGGTTTTTGATTTGCCGCATACGGTTTTTGTTTGCCGTATACGGCTTTTGGTCTGCCTCATACGGGTTTTGATTTGCCGCATACGGTTTTTGTTTGCCGTATACGGCTTTGGTCTGCCTCATACGGTTTTTGATTTGCCGCATACGGTTTTTTGTTTGCCGTATACGGCTTTTGGTCTGCCTCATACGGTTTTTGATTTGCCGCATACGGTTTTTTGTTTGCCGTATACGGCTTTTGGTCTGCCTCATACGGTTTTTGATTTGCCGCATACGGTTTTTAGCAGATGATACCTTCACCACACTTGAAACATACTTAAAAATACTGTACACATGAAGGTGTCAGCGTGCTTTTACTCTCGAGTCCAGAAACCAAGCGCGTATCCCAACAATATAATAGGGGCTGGCCGCCGGGGCGGGCTGGTGTGTCTGGCTGGCTGGCTGGCGGTGAGGCGCAGCCTGCGCGGACGTCTCAAAGGGTGGGTGACTCGGGCAGACCTCGGCTCTGCTCAGCTCGTGCCGCTTCGGCGCCAGCTCGGCCTCGTTCGTTGAATGAGATTTTAAGAACTATCTTTGGAATGAGCCCATACTAATGAGCCCAGAAGAAAACCAAACGAGTATCATCTGCTTTCATTAACGTTCGTTGAATGAGATTTTTGTTTTCTTTCTCTTCCGTCGGCGGCGGCGCCGCTCTTCATGTCGACACGGTGCTTTATCCCCGTTCGGCCCGAATCCCGAATCCGCGCCGCTTCCCGTCCGGCGGCTTCCCTCCGGTTCCCTCCGGCCGGGCCGCCGGAGTCCGAGGGGTCGCTCCCTCGCTCTGTCGCTGTCGCACTCGTGGGCCGTTCCGTGCGGGTGCGAGAGAGAGAGAGAGAGAGAGACGAAAAACGATCCTGCTGAATCGGCTGGCTGCTGGTTCCCTCGGCCACACTCCTAGGGGCCGGCGGGGCGGGGCCCGCGGGGTCCGCTTGCACAATTGGCTGAGCAATCAGGGAGGAATCGTCCGGCCTGGCCGCCCCACTGCCACGCCATCCTGGCGGAAAAGTGGAAGCAGTGCGAAGCGGTGCCCGGCCGCCCACCTATTTGGGTCACGGCCATCTCTCTGCTTTTCTCGCGTCCCCGTCACCGCGTTCTTTTTGTTGTTTGTTGTCGTCGTTCGAAGGAAGTATTTTGAATGACAAAGCATTTTCTAAAATACTTCGCTGTCAAGCTATTTTCCTGTGTAAGGCCTAGAACAGTTTGCGAAGTTTGGAGAGAGTGTTGTTGTTGTTGTTTGTCGTCGTTTGCCGGGCTGCCTGTTCATTAGCGGCCGGTGCGCTCGACGGGTGCGTTGGGCTGCTTGTGCCCCAATCTGCGATCGCGCTTTGTAGTGGCGTAGTCGGCGTAGTGGCGCAGCGGCGCAGCGGCGCACTGCAATAGAAAGCGACGGAGACGCTGCTGCGCTTCCGCAACGGTGCGGCGCCCCGAGAGCCCCGCCTTGCCTGCCCCGCCTCGCCGTGCCTGCAGTGCCTGTGCCCGCAGACAGCGCGCGTCCAGGAGAGGGGGGGGGGTCTTTATCGGGGTAGTTACTACCCCTTCCCCTTAGGTACGAGGTCAACCTCCGGAAGGTAGGCTAAGAGGCTCTGTCCCTGTGACTGCTTCTTTACCCGCCCTATTTAGGGAATCCGGGGAAATCCTTGATCCGCGCCTGCCTGCCTGCAGACAAGTCACTTGCCTTGCCTGCAGTGGCTGCCGTGGCTGCCCCGCCTGCCCTGCCTCGTTGCGCGGCGAGTCGCTGCCGAGCACCGCGGAAGCGCAAGCAAACTAGGCGACAAAAAATGGTGGCAGCGGTCCAGCGGTCCAGCGGCCTGACGACTGCACTGCATCTCTCCAGGCGGCGGCCAGGCGGCGGCCACGATCATGACTGGCTGTCTTGCCACGGTCGTGACCGTGCCGGCCTTCCCATTACCGGACCAGTGACATGAATCTGAACCCGAACCCGAACCCGCAGGCTGACAGGACACGGCGGCCCCTGCCACTGCACTGACACCGTTCTCTTTGAAGAGTGGAGTCCCGAGTCGGACTTGGCGTGGTTTTAGTTCTCCCGCCTGCAACGCACTGCAACGCCGCAATGCGCTGCGCCGAGCGGAGCACACCGCGCCTGTTGCACGCTCCTGGCTCTGCGCACTCCGCGCGCAGCGTTCCTTGTGGGCTACATTATTCATCGCCCCTCTTGGTTCGCGATATCCCTGCTGCATACAGCGAGCATACAGCCGTTATGCAGTATTATTTTCCGCGGGACGCCACTTGCACTCCCAGTGCGCTCCCAGCTGCACTCCCAGCTGCACTCCCAGTGCACTCCCAGCTGCACTCCCAGCTGCACTCCCAGCTGCACTCCCAGCTGCACTCCCAGCTGCACTCCCAGTTGCGCTCCCAGCTGCACTCCCAGTGCGCTCCCAGCTGCACTCCCAGCTGCACTCCCAGCACATGCACTCCCCCTGCCCCCCTTGCATCACGGCATCGCTCAGCGCGTCCCAGTCGACTTAGTACAACTCTGCATCCAGCTGATGCAAGTTCTGTACTAAGTCGACTGCACTCCAAGCGATGCCGTTGCCAGGAAGCTGCGCCTCCAGCTGGCTGTGCCGCTTCGAGACGCCCTCCCAGCTGTCCACCTCGGCGCACTCTATGAACTCACCCAGGTTGCAGTTCTCCTGCGCCTCGTTGCACCTGCCCACCACCCTGATGATGGCCCTGCCCGCCATCATGACGGGCAGCTGCTGGGGCATGTTGGTGATGTCGACACCGAAGGACGCTGGCGGACGCATCTTGGCCTTGTCCCTTTTCCCGCTCACAAAATTCAAATCCACCAAACTATGGCGCTCACTTTCACTTGTCACTTTTGTCACTTGTGCGTGTCACTTGCGAGTCTCTTGCGAGTCTCTTGCGAGTCACTTGCGTGTCACTGCGCGGACGCTAATCCTTTTGCAGCGGCGCCCAGCGAGGGTGGCTCTGGCGCGGCGGACTCCGTACTACTGGCGGCGCGCGCGGGGGGGCTTTGTTTATATGGCGTCAGCTGTTGGCGTCTCGCGCGGCTACAGCGGAGGGGGCAGAGTCACTGCTCCGCGGCAGGACGCGGCAGGACGCGGGCCGCGAAAGAAGGGGGAGGGGGGGGGAGGAGTACTGCGCACAACGGTGTGCTGGACGGCGTCGAGGAGCGGGCTGCCCGGCGGCCTCGTGGTCGTCGACGACGGCGAGGAGGGCCTTGGTGTCCTCGGAGGAGACTTCGGCGGAGTCAAGTGCCTCGAGGCCGAGCCATGGAGGCGTTGGGCCGCTCGGGATGGAGAGTTTGGTTCGGGCGTGCAGGGTGTTACAAAAAAAATCGTCTTGAACCAAGAAACTTCATCTGCAACGAGTGAATACTTGGAACTTGGAACTTGGAATGAATGAATGAATGAATGAATGAATGAATGAATGAATGAATGAATGAATGAATGAATGAATGAATGAATGAATGAATGAATGAATGAATGAATGAATGAATGAATGAATGAATGAATGAATGAATGAATGAGTTGCTCCGTACGAGCCATCATTTATTTTCTGTACAGTCGTCACACTTCTTGTTCCACATCATCAGCCCCATCGCAGTCCCGATGGTTTTTGTTTTCTGCCTAGTTTTGTTTGAGTGACAGTGGATCCGGGCCGCGTTCATTGCGTTGCTGGGATCGCTTCCTCGGGCAGCGTGGCTAGCCGAAGGCGGAGGCTGGGTGCATCGGGCAGGCACGCGCGAGCCGGACATTGCTCGGCCACTGCCCACAGAGCACGCACCCACACCGACACACACACACGTATGGCGTATCCAGGTCACTTCCGGAGGCCAAACGAAATAATCCCTCTCAGTCTGCGCTGGCTGCGCTGGCTGCGCGTGTACTGTTTTTGTTTTGGCCCTGATAGCGCGGCAGGACTCGCCTGAGTCACGGGCCGCCCCGGTCGGCCCGGTCATCCCGAGCCCTATCTTATCCGAATGGCGACCTGCGACACAGTTGCACCACGTGCAGGGGCTGCGGACTATCGGCGCAGCGGCAGGACACTGCCCGGGTGGCTTAGCGGGGCTTAGCGGAGGGTGGTCTGTGCGCCGCTACGCGCCAATCGCCCTCGCCTCGGCAGTCTCAATCAGTGTATGGAGCGACGGAAAATCTTTAATGGTCTGCCGAAGGCAATACCTTGCCGTTAAGGATTTTCACGTCCTTCGGGGCGTCATGCCTTCTCCGGTGCCCGATTGGTGAGTGCAGGAAACGCTCTCGAGTCTGCTTGCAGGGTGCCGGCTTGGTGCCGCGGCATGCCGGGGAAGCGTGCGAGGGGGATGAGCTCTTGAGGCGCTTGGCAGAATGAAATGCTTGCGCCGCTTGGCGCGGTGGCCGCGTCGCCACGCAGGGTATGGCCGGGGCGCGGCACGGCGCGGCACGGCGCGGCGCGCTCTAAACTCGGCGGGGAAAACCCGGTCTAAATGGGGCGGCGGCCAGCCAGCCAGCATCGCCATGCCGCGCCAACCCCCGGCAGGCCATGCCCAGGGTGCCGGCGAGGGAAGGCAGGCAGGGCGTTCCGATGGCCCCGCCCCGCCCCGCCCCCCCCGCCCCGCCCCGCCCCGCCCCGCCCCGCCCCCCCGCCCCGCCCCGCCCCCCCCGCCCCGCAACGGGTGGTAACGTCGCGGTTTCGTCCATGGAACGACGCTGATGCAAATAAACGTCCGCGACACGCCGCGCCGCGCAGCCTTTGCGTGTGTCAGTCTCGGGCAGCGCACGGACGGGGCGCGCCGGACAGCCCCATCTCCCTCTCTCTCTCGCACTCCTAACTTGACGGCCCTTGGCCGTGAGTGCGAGAGAGAGAGAGAGAGAGAGATAAGCAATGTTTGGAAAGGCGGCCGGCAGACACACTGCTAGCGGGGCGAGCATGAGCGGAGAGGGTGTATGCCGGCTCCCTCGCACCTTTCCTGGATGCCGCACTAAGTGCGAGGCAGACAGAGCGACGCCGTGCTGTCCGCGATCCGTCTGTCGGTGGTCAGTCCGCGCGGCTGAAGCCGAAGGCAGACGAAGGCAGTGCTCTTTGTGACGCACGACCCGTTCCTTGGCCCCAGCCTCCCCAAGCCTCCCCCCGCCTGCCTCGGTTCACTTGCAGTTCTCGACACTTCCAAGACAGTGTGCCTCCTGCGATGCCTTTGGGATGGGACCCAGAAGAAGACAGCCGAAAACGGCCGATGGCAGCCGAAAACGGTCGAAAAAGGCCTGTAACGGCCAGTGACAGCCAAAAACAGCCGGACACAGCCGAAAACGGCTGGTGACAGGCGAAAACGGCCGGTGACAGCAGAAAACGGCCGGTAACAGCTGAAACGGCCGATAACAGCCCAAAATGGCGCAAGAAGTTCTTGGCATGCGCAAAGAGTTCGCGGCGTGAGAAGTTCGCGGCAAGCGCGAAAAGATCACGGCCAGCGCAAAAAGATCGCGGCAAGCGCTTAAAGATTGCGGCAGGCCTGAAAAGTTGACGTATCTGGATCCGCACCTGTGCCAAGGGCCCGAGGAGGACCGCGCTGTGGCTGCGAAAATAGTCGGTGTTCCCGGATGCGAGGTCCTCGATCGGACGGTGCGGTTTATTTCGGACAGCACGGCGCGTTCTTGGACGCGATGACTCCGTTTCGCGCCAAACAGTGGCGTCTTTTTGGCGCGGCGTGCATTCCCCGCGGCAGATGACGGAAACGCGGCAACCCCTGGCCGTCCTGGCCGTCCTTGGGGTTCAAGATCAGAGCGGTGCAGAGCAGCGCGGTGCAACGCGCCGTTCGTCTCCTTGTTTACCGCCAGCGCGCAGCCAAACACACACACACACACACACCCACACACACACACACACACACACCACACACACACACACGCGCGCACACACACACACACACACACACACAAACTTACACACGCGCACGCCCCTTCACACACACACACTCACGCCCTCAAAGAAAGGCCTCGACAAAGCAGTTTTCTTTTGTTTTAAGAGAGCGTGAAAACGCGGTGCAGCGCGCGAGGGTGCGCACGCCCCTCGGCGGTTTGCCCGTTGCCGTCGGACGGCGGTTCAGTGCTCCCCCTGGCCCGGCCGGCCCGGCCGTCGCCGTCGGACGCCGTCAGGGCCCCCGAGGGAAGTTCCTCCTCCCGGCAGGTGGAGGTGGGGCCCGCTGCGGTGGCTATTTCGGGCGCGACGGCGGTCTTGGGCGCGCGGGGCGCAGCGCGGCCGAGCCCCGCCGCGGACTACAGGGCTTGGAGAGACAAGACAGCCGAGGAGCGACTCGAAGGGGGATCGGCGGTGACACCTCCCCGAGGACACGGCCGGGAGGTTAATTTCCGGCCGCACGGCGTCGACGGCCACCCCGAATCGCGGCGGGCGCGGCGCCAGCGACCTGCAGCAGCCACTCGCGTCGTCACGCGCTGCGGGGACAGGACGGCCGCACTGCACGCGGCGCGTGGCGCGCTATTTCGGCATCGGATTCATATTGTGGTCCGCGGTCCGCGTGCCGGGAAACCCGTTTCGTGCTTTCCTCGGTTTCCTCGTACTCGCCGCGTGGCAGGGCACGGCACCACCACCGCCACCCTTCTGGCCACCACCGCAACCCACGTCGCCACGGCCACCACTCCGGACTCATGTCAGCCTCCCTCGGAGCGCTCCGTGCCCGTTGGGCTGCCTGCCTCCACGGCGTGCCCGTTGGGTTGCCTGCCTGCACGGGCTGCCTGGCTCCAAGGCGTGCTAGTTGGGCTGCCCGCCGCCAAGGCGCTGCCTGCCACCAAGGCGTGCTGGTTGGGTTGCCTGCCCTACCTCCAAGGCGTGCCCGTTGGGCTGCCTGGCTCCAAGGCGTACCTGTTGTGCTGCCCGCCCCCACGGCGCGCTTTAGGCTGGTTGGCTGGCTGTCCGCTGCCGGCCTCGCTCTTGCACGCGGACGCAGCATGCGTGGCGTCAGCGAGGGGGCGGGGTAAACACTTCAAGAAATTGTGTGGTCGCTGTACTACGGTGCGATTGAACAATGTTTTACGGCATTGGAGTGCTACAAATTTGTCACATTTGACCGCAAGCTGATGTTACGTTTATGTGTATGACGCGTCGCAGCAGGGCTTGTGTGTACAGGGTGTTACGCGGCGGCAGCAGGAAGAACTGTGTCGCGAAGGGAAGGCGAAGCAGACAGCATTTGGCGTCCGCACATGCGCTGTCGCAAGGCGTACTTCATCACGACGCTCTTGAGAGAGTCTCTCAGATCTGGGCTCGGATGGACCAGCCACATTTGGAGGATTTGGAGGATTGGCGGAAACGAATCTTCCAGAAAGCGGTCTTGGGGGCTTTGGGCGCGGCTGCGCGGCTGCGCGGCTGGTCCCCGTCGTTCCGCGAGGTTCTCATACGGGTCCGCGGTAGGCGCCGCTGTAGTCAGGCTTTGAGGAGGTGTTCGAACACGGCTCTGTGTGAGCTAACGGCCCGACGGGGGAGGGCCACGCCGGCCACGCCACTGCGCGGCCGCCGGCTGCCTGGCCTGGCTGCCCCATATTCCCAGCATTGTTACTCCAACCCCACGCCCGCCCCGCCCCGCCCCGCCCCGCCCCGCCTCGCCACGCCCTGGCGCACGCGTAATCTGACACCACGTTGTGGGCTACGGCGGGCCCGGCCTGGCCCGGCCGGCTTAGTGTGGTACACTGGTACGCCCTCCGAGAAACGGATGTAGGGAATACCAGAAACCATTCTCGAGACAGTTTAAAATTACGTAACAGACGCATGCGACCATTGCCACCGCGGACGCTGTCTGCGCGGTCCGCGCGACAGGCAGGGATAGGCTGCCAATCGTCTGTACATACGAGTAACCGAGATCTCGCGTCAAATCTGTCTGAATTTGGCCAAATTCTTTTGAAATCTGTCATAGCTGAGTGAAATCCCGTAAAAATATCGTCAAATTTTACATAATTGAGGCAAAAATCCTGCGAAACCTCGCGAAATCCCTTTCTGAGAGGAACCTTGCGTGCAGTCAATTATTAAGTGGTTCGCTGCCAATGGTGGAGCTCATCCCACATTTGGGTCAGTCGTTTTCACCTACCTGAGTTTGTCCCTGCACGAACACTCACACTCACGCGCGCCAACGCACACACACATGCCGGAAGGATCGAGCAGTCAAACCCCCCGGATCGTGGGCAGAATAGAAAGAATGTGTGTCCGCATATGTGTGCGTGTGTGTGTGTGTGTGTGTGTGTGTGTGTGTGTGTGTGTTGCGTGTTAGTGTGTGCTGCGGTGTGAGCGCGCGCGGATGAGAGAAAGGCAGCCGTTGGGGGTCATCGCTGCAAACGGTGTCGCACGCCGAAGGCTGGAGCGGCTGGAGGCCCTCCTCTCCAGGAGGCAGCAGAGGCAGCAGCGGGTCAAAGGCTTGGCAGGTCATTCCATCCAGTGGCGGGCCGAGGGAAGGGAAGGGGGGGGGGGCGCGGGCAGGTGCCAGACCGCTGCGCCGCGCGGGACGGGTAGGGCCGGGACGTGGCGGGACGTCGGGACGAGACAGCTGCGGACGCGCCGTGCAGATCGGAGTGTACTGGGAATGGGATGCGATGGGATGGCCCCCTCCACTGCAAGGGAGCGCCTGCGACCGTAGGCCGACCCGCCGTGCTCCGGCGTCACGCAGGCCTGCCCCTGCCTACCTCCGAGGCGTTCGGCGTTCGCCGCCCGGCCGGCACTTCAAGCGCTTGGACTTGAACTTTATACGGAAAAAGCTCACTTCCAGGCAGACGGTCCAAGACAAGGTGGCAGTGGGTTTGGGGCCGCCGCCTGCGCGCCTGCATGCCCTGCGCGCCCGCGGCGGCTGCGGCGTCGCCACTTCGTTACGATGCCCCGCGGCTCCGCGGCTTTGGGCATGAGAGCGTGCAGCGGACCGGTCCCGAGATTCGTTTCCGTCGCTGTCTCGCTTACACCCATCCGGTTCCTCGTACAGGTGCGAGAGAGACAGAGCGACGAAAACGACTCTCGGAATATCGGCAGCTGGCGGCCGCTCAGGCTGCCCACACGGTGGCGCCCCTGGCGGCGCGGCGCCCAGGCTCGCTAGTCTCGCCGTCGCTTAATTTCACTTTTTGCCGACGTCCTCATTAAGCGACACGCCTAACGCGAGACTAGCCGCGGGGCTGAAAAGGAGGAGCGCCTGTCGCGAGGCTAGCGGCGTGTGTGTGTGTGTGTGTGTGTGTGTGTGTGTGTGTGTGTGTGTGTGTGTGTGTGAGGCGCGTGCGCGCCTTTGGGGAAACCTGGCAGGAGAGTGAAACATATCGCATGGACGTGTGAATGGCTGAATGGCCGGGCCGCACGGGCGGCGCACGGGCGTGTCTCGGCGGACCGGCGTTCCGAAGAAAGCGCCCCGATAAGTGCGGGGCTGCATTAGCGAATGATTCGGCGACGCGGTGCGCGAGTGCACTGTGAGTGCACGACGCACGCCAAAGTTTGCTGACTATTTTGGGCATCAGCTTGACATAACAGAGTATTTTGGACCTTTATTGCGCTTGCAAAGAAAATACCTCGCAACTTAGGAACTATTTATTCGAAAAATCAGTTTGTACCTTAAACTTTCAGATGTTCTTAATGCTTCGTAGGGCCGAAGCGCCCGCGAATGAATGAATGAATGAATGAATGAATGAATGAATGAATGAATGAATGAATGAATGAATGAATGAATGAATGAATGAATGAATGAATGAATGAATGAATGAATGAATGAATGAATGAATGAATGAATGAATGAATGAATGAATGAATGAATGAATGAATGAATGAATGAATGAATGAATGAATGAATGAATGAATGAATGAATGCCGGTGGTGTCTGCCTGGGCCTGGAGTGATCCCCTGGAGCCCCCGCGGCCCCTGGCCGGCCGGACTGGAGTGACTGGCAGAGTACGGCAGACTGCGGAGTGAGCGCGAAATGCTGCCGAGGGCCGGCCTCACGGTGGCGGAGGGCTGAGGTGGGGCGGGGGGCGGCCTGGCCGGGGCGGCGAGGAGGGGGCCGCGGGGGGCTGGAGCGTGGAGCGTGGAGGGGGCAGGGGCGCCGCGAGTCGCCGGCCAGCATTAGGACTCGAGACCCCGGCGAGGCAGGCGGTGCGACTGAGCGCGCCGGTGCAGCAGCGCGAGTCCCGAGCTCCGCGAGTGCGGCATGCACTCTGTGCCCTGAGTGCGCCGTGCACCGTCATGGCGAGCGACCCCGCCAACCCCGCCAACCCCGCCAGCCGCGCCATGGACTATCAGTGAGCCTCCGGCCGCCATTTCTGGATTATCAGTGCGACCTCCTCATCGCTGTCACTTGAAGTTTTGGACAATTTTTGTCCCCTCCAACTTTTCTTTTGTGCTCGATTTTTTTTGTGGAGCGACTATATAATCAGTGCAAGTGTACAGTGCGCGAGTGAGTAGTGTGTGTGAGTGTGGTGTGTGTGTGGGTGTGACCGGGGCAGGATGCAGTCCCCCTCACCCCGCCGCCCCAGCATGGCCACCATGGCCCTCCCCTTGGGAGTGTTACTTCTCCTGGGAACGTGCTTCGGTTCGACGCTAACAGGTGAGTCGAAGGAGAGGCAGGCGTCCAGGGGTGGACGGCCTGGTCGCCGCGGCCCGCCGGACCGGTGCTGGCGGGGCGAGCCTTCTACGGGGTGGAGTAGTGCGGCCCAGTTCGACGGGGTGGTGCACTGTCGCACGGGCAGTGCGGCCCAGTTCGACGGGGTGCTTGTCCGTCTCGCGCGTGTGACGCGAGCACAGCCAGCAGTACAAATGGGAGTGGTTTAGGTTTTAAAAACGTGAACTTTTGGGGCCCCGGCCCCGTTCCCAGGCGGCACGGCGCCGAGAGGCACGGCGCGCTATCCCAGGTATCCCAGGGCGGCGGCGTGCTCCGCGCCGCCGTGCCTCGCCGGGGCTAGCGGTGGGCCCCGGGCCCTGGGCGGGCCTGCGAAATGTTGTCGGAAACAGAAATTCTTCTGCGCGGCGCGCGGCGTGGCCGGGGGCGTCGGCTTGGCTCGGCTGTGCCGCCCGCAGCGCGCAGCGGCCAGGGCCAAACACTCCAGCTAATGGCGGCACTGTCACAGTCTTTCAATTCGGCGGCCCCGCCAACCGCCCTCCGCGGCCGCAGCTGTCCAATACCGCCGACCGCGGCCCGGCCGAGGCCCCCGAGCCCCCCGAGCCCCCCAGCCCCCAAGCCACCAGGTGCGGCCACGCTCCAGATTCGCAGCTGTCAAACACGGCACTGTTAGGCGCAGAAATGGTAATCGTAATGTAACAGGGAAACAGCTGCAGCTCGACCATTGTGTCTGCCCTGCCCCGCCGTGCCCTGCCCCGCCGTGCCCTGCCCCGCCGTGCCTGCCCCGCCGCTAGTCCCGCGGAGTCGGATTGATCCCCGGAGACCTCAACGCGCGTCGGCGGCCAGAGCGCCGCCCGTCAGTGCCCTCCCTCCCTCCGTCTTTTCGAGCGCGGTTCCGGGTTTTTATTTTGGACGCGTCACGAACTAGAGTAGACTTTGGAATGGCGCGCCGCCGTGATTGTGTCTCTGCACTGCGGCGTTAATTAAAACGGAAGGATGCACCCGAAAATGGAAGTGCAGGGAGGAACGGGGCGCTGCCGAGTGTAAAAGTGGACGATCTGATTCAAAGTGTCGATCGGTTCAATCGGCGCAAACGGACTAAACCAGCCGGGTGGGGCCAGGCTGCCTGGCTGCCTGGCGGTTTTCGGTTGCCGGATTGACTCCGGGAGTCACTTTCGTCGCGCCGTCCCTCTCTCCATCTCATATGCGTGCGAGAGAGACGGAGTGTGCCGGCCTTCCTCGTGGAGAGCCGTAAAACCGCGCCGAATACGCCGCGGAAGCCAGCAGGGGAAAAAATGCAAGGTGAAAATCCCCCCGGCGTTCCGCCTGGCTGCCGTTACGGCTCGATGTGTGAGACCGGCGACCAGACCGCGTGCCGTGCCGCGTGCCGTGCCGCGTGCCGCGTCGTCTGGCGGTAATGTGCCCAGGCTGGTCGCTGGTTCCGCCTCCGGCCGGTGCCGCGCTGTCTCTCTCGCACTCACGGGGCGTACCGTGGGGTTGCGAGAGAGACAGCGCGACGAAAACGACTCTCGGAATGAGTCTGCCGCGCGGGGCCAGCGCTGGCCGAGGTGGTCAAGCTCGTGTCTCCCGTGTGGAGTAGGAAGCGCGGCGCGCCGCGGCGGGGATGCGGGGGGTTGGGTTGGGCAAGGCCGTGCGGCTGGGGGCCCCCGCCACTGGGCCCCGGCCCCGCCCGCCCCCCCGCCCCGCCCCGCCCCCCCCCCCCCCCCCCCCCGCCGAGCCCCCGCGAAAGCGGGCGTCCCCGGCAGGCCCTGGCAGGCCGGCGTGCGCGGCATTCTGCAGCATTCTTGCATCCCGTTGGCGTCACCGCGTGGACGATGCTCGAAGCACGATGCACGCGCTCTGGCGCCGCCTGGCACCACTCACGGGCAGCTGTCTCTCTCGCACTCACGGGGCATCCCTTGTGGGTGCGAGAGAGACAGCGCGATGATGTCCGCAGCCTTCTGATTCCAATGGATCGGTTTGTCACTCTGTCTCGGTCGCTCGGCACGGGATGCCCTAGGAGCGTGACAGAGACAGAACGATGAAACGATCCTTTGGAATCAGGCGGCAACATAGAACTGGAACTGAGAATCAATTTCTCTGCTCAGTCAAAAGTATACACGTGATTCAATTCCGTTGAGATAATTAATTAAGAACTGTACTCGGCACCCTTTCAGCCCTCCCGGGTAGAAAGTGAAAATAACGAAAATGCAAGCCGCGCGGAAAGAAGGCGAAAAAAGGAACCAAACTGAAATTGGGCCTCTGCCGGCTCACTCTCACTTGCTGTCTCTCTCGCTCTCGCAGGCCGCGCGGCTCCCCGTTTTGGGAGGCATGGCCAGGCCGCCATGTGGGGTGCCGGCCGCCCGGGGAAACTTAATCGGATCGGCCGCGCCATGGCCGCGCGCCCACACTGTGTGCTGCACTCCGTGCATTCCTTAGAAAGGCGCCAATTTCGCTGTCTCTGTTTTTTCGGCTGCTCGGGTCGGTTTCCCCGACCGCGATGCTTCATTTACTTACACTGGACCCACTCGACCTCCCGGCCGAGCGGAGGAAAACCAGGAGAGTCGTTTCGGTCGCCCTGTCTCTCTCGCA